TAACAGAAAGATAATGTTCAAACGTACCCCAATCAATAGCGTTACAACAATTTTAATATGAATACGTGCGATTGTGTATATCTATATCTGCGGCGTGCAAATGATATTTATACATGTCAGAGCTTTGCATGTGATAGGAAAGTTTCATGAGACAAACAGCCACTTATACAAACATTCCTTATAAGGAGAGATGTAACTATTTTTGTCGTATAAATTGCGTTTTTGTCTATCGCAATAGAGTTAGCGAAAATAAAATTTTGTTCTATTCTGTAAATAGTTATGCATTATAGCAGTATGTGTGGCGTGGGTATGAGAGAAGAACATACCAATATTCACAAAAATAAGAGCAAATGGAGAATATTTATCGAAGACAATATGACCTAATTTTATCATCACATATTATGACAAATAGCTCTTATCGAAATTTTATTATTATGACATTAGTTAAAGAATGATTAAATATCACAGAAAAATAGAGCATTGTTTTTGGTATGATTACGTATAAAGAGAAAGTTTAATAAAGCATTCTGTACGAAAATAAAATATCTCCGTCACTACTTTCAGATCTCTTTCAGTGGTTTAATATTTTATATAATTAGTCAAACCAATAAATGAACCATTAAATTTCATTTTTTCAAAAGCTATTTGACGAATATAACATTCCATGAGTACATTTTTTCTATCCCATCTTATCTCACGAGGAGTTCTAGTGCATGTGCTTCTCTAAGTACCAAATATGGCAACGAAATAATAAAAACTGTAAGATCGAAATAACGACAAGTTCAACATTACAAAACAAAAAGTAAATAAGTATGTGTGTACGTGATATGAAAGAGATAGAAAAGAAATCTATTCTATTGGAATATTCTTCGAAAGGAGAAGAGAAAGCGTAGGAAGAGAATCAATCCATACATTATCATTTTGGAAAGAAAAAATTGCACAGTAAAATCTGTATCTGTTTTCAGATGCGGCTAAAGCTAAGAAAAGAAAAGAAAAGAAAATCAACAAGAAAGAAAGAAGAAAAAAAGTCTGAATATCTCCGCTCTATTTTCATCAAATGAGTTAATTATTTACAATTAATAACAGAGTGTTGATAGATCATATTCCTAAGAGAAGCATTGACAAATACTGCTTTGAATTATCATTATTGACTTCAATAAAGAACTGTAAACTGTTCGTAAATTATGGAAAAACTATATTTCAGTTTTCGTAACAAATTCTTGTTGTTTATAGCTGAAAATTTCAGAATATGATGAGTAACAAGACGTGCATCTATGATATAAATTTTACATCAAACGACATTTCTATCAAGAATTAATAGAAAAATAAAATATGTATAACTTACTTTTGACGAGCGAAAATATTTAATGTTTTTTTTTTATGAATATAATCTATCGACATTTTCTTGTTAGTCGTAAAAAAATTAACTCGTTTGTTCAAAGTATAATAGAGATTTTCAATTTCATCAGCAAAATGACTTTTGAACTACCCTGTATGGTTTTTTTGAAACTTACATGTTTTTTAATAAGTATAGAATAAAAGCGTAGGTAAGAGTGTGTGTGCACTTTAAAACCAAACTGTACAAATTAAGATTCCTATGAATTGAATTGAATTAGAAATTTTTTTCGAGACCTGCGATGTTAATTCAATTCAACTCAAAGAAACTTTTGATATTGTTGTTATAAAATTAATTTATTCAATACAACTATTAAAAGATCAAGTTATGACTATTGCTTATTTGATAATTTCTTTCCAGACACAGTCGCATTATTATAATATATTTCTATTACACTCGCATCAACGTATTGGTATTTTCTTTTTTTTTTTTATGAGTGCATATCATTTATACAACTATGCTCGCAACGTACCGATGTACTTTCCCTGTCTTTCAGCTTATAGGTATAGTGTTCATTTATCTTTATCTAACATGGCAATATCATGTATAACATTTGTTTGAATAGATTGATATAGTATATATCGTTAAACATAGACCTATTCTAATGTATTTATCTTTTGTTCAATAATATTTGATTCAACTATAACAGAAAGTTATAGTCTGCTTTTTTTTGTCATGTGATGAATAACAATAAAACTTTTTTGAACTCATTCAATGAAAGAAAATAAGAACAAATGTATTAACTAGAATTTTTCAATGCAACTGAATTGATAATTGTAACATTCTAGAATGACAGTGAAAATGAAACAGAAGACAGGCATATTTTCATCTACTATGACCTTACAGATTATGAAGAATACTTTAAAAAAATAAATGAGAATTGAAATGATTGACTCCATCTAAGATTTTATTTACATACATCTTTGAGTTAATTCTTTATTGATATAAATCTGTTTTGTTTTCTTTTTCGATTTATGGTTATCTTTATTCCATTAAGGAACAATATGAAGCATGACAGTTTGATTTAATATCATCTTTTCGTGAGATGCTTAGATTAGTACAGATTCTAAGACAAACAGTTTTCTCTTCTTTTCTGATACTTTTTATTGTCAATGAGTTAAAATGAATTTTCACTATACTGTTTCAATTTTATTGTATCTCATTTCAGTGAGACTATACATATTAATCAGATCTTGTTGAAATGTTCTGTTGAGGTTTTTTTTCTAGAATGTGAAGAATGAAAGATAGGATTTTGTTTTCTTAAAATACTATAAAAGAGAACAAGTAATATTACTTTTGTTGATAAGAGAACAAATCATAGAAATCCCTTTCTTTCTCTTTTTGCATTCTACCATAACTAAAAACACAAATATTTATCACCTAGGTAAGTGTGTGAGTGTATCTGTATTCTTCGCATCTAAACCACACCCACACCCCACCATCACCTTGGATTTTTAGGCAAAATTTTCAGACATCGTAACAGGTGAAAACTCGAAAAAAAAACCTGAACTCATTGGACACGATACAAATATACATCAATCGACTGAATTTTTTACGCTGATTCCGACTATAGTATTCTTCTTGTATAAATTTTAATTTTTGATGAAGAAAATTGAGAATTACCTGTGAAAACTTTGATATTTTAGTCAAAATTTAGTAAAAACGGTTTTTTTCAACAACGGAAAGAAAATACAAAATCGGCCTATGCGTGTTGCGCTCGGTATGATTCGGAACGTCACCGTGAAAAGATATCGTGGTCTAGAGCCGGTTTAACAACTCGTTTAGACTCAGTTGTTGATGCTGAATTAGAAAAAGATATTGTCAGAAGCTCAAGACAAGCATGAAGCAAAATATAAAGCATATTTTAGAAAAGATATGGTTTTTGAAAAAAACAGCATCCTTCAAGTTTTTCGTATTTTTCGACCTGAAAAAGGTGTTTTCCGTGGTCAGCAGCTCGTGCTCTATCAGATGATGTAAAAGAAAAGCCAAAAAAAGAAATGTTTACTCGAAATTCGCATTGTTCGCACCTTATAAGATATACTATCATTATCAGAATAGGTTCAGCATCAGAAAAAATCCTAGTTGGCAATTATTAACAAGAGATACTATTAAGGATAAATGATGATACATCACGTTTGGCAGATTTAATGATTTCAATTGAAATATTAATATCTGATAAACAATAAATAAAAGATGTTCTGAAAGATAAAAAATTGTCAAAAAAAGATTTAAAGGTGTAGAATGATTTGTTTCCTCACATCATATTAATGATCTTAATAAAATTTTTGTCTATGAAATAGATTAGTGTATTTGTAGAGTACAGTGTCTGTGTAATATAACAACATAAAAAAGTCTCAATATCTCACACTTCTAGTGAGAAGAATTTTGAGAAGTCTAACGACAATTATTTTTGCACTCCACTGTATCTCGTTGGATATGCACACAGGTCTCATTTTTTTTATGAAGTCTCAAGAAATATTCACTGTTTGTTCTTTTCTACTTCTGTTCTGTACATTGTGTTATGGTTCAGCTGATGTATACACTGATTAGACATTCATAAAAGATGAAGCAGGTCGTATACGTCTTTATCACGGTGCTAATTTTGTCAACAAAGGCTTTCCATGATATCCATCGGAATTGCTTGATTCCATTTATGTTGCTAATATGTCAACATTATGGGGTTTAAATTTTGTTCGGCTGGGTGTGGGTGTGGGTGTGGGTAAAGAGAAGTGAACACCCACACCCTGACATCAAAATGATATGAAAAAGAGACGGTTAAATCAATGAAAACCAATTATGAAACATCACATATCTGTTAACGGTGGTTTACACTCTGCCTACCCTCGATTCTCTTTCTTTTTCTCTCTCGCTTCTTCTTTCTACTGTATCCACAAATCGATATTCTTGTCTCTATTCTTTCCAGATTCTTTAATTGCAGGAAAATCTGTCAAGATTCTTTTTCAAATTAATGTTCAGTCAAGATTCTTTTTCTGTCGAATAATAGAACGATAGAACGATAGAAAGATTCTGACCAGAATTGCAAGACGGACGTCTGCCATTTTTCTCACTTTTCTCTCTATATATATCACTTACACTCAGTTATTCGTTCATTCATACAACGGACGTTTAATCGTAAGGTCATCATGTGCATAAGATCTATGACAATATATGAATTTTATACAGCATAAATCCAAATGGGATATACCAATAATTGGTGAAAAAATTTATTATGGTTTAGTTAGCTTTTTTATCAAACTGTATCGTAATTAAATGATAAATTGCCTGCACATTAATCTCTCAAAAGCAATGTACATTTTTCTAAATCGGTTTCGAACACCTGCATTTATATAAATGTATATTTAATGAGAGAATCATAACAATACTGGCGCTTAGATTACATTGGAAACAAGAGACACCTATTGAAAATTTCCAATTGGATACACTTATTACATTTGGTCTATTTAAGTTCATAATGGTAAATTCTACTGTAGATAACTCTTTGTTCTTTACAATTCTTTATTAGTATCAAGAACTATTTCTTCCTTACTATAGTAAAGACGAGTCATTTTTCTCTTATTTTCTAGAAAAATTTCTAGGTGTTCACATGAATGACGGTACTGAGGAAAATTTTGTTAGATCAATTTTTAATGATGCATTAAAAACTTTGCGTAAGAGCACTGTTCTCCTCAAACGTTCCTTTCAATTATTTATATCATTTATTTTAATTTTAGAGCCATCTTCACGTAGCATTAGACAAAAAAGATGGCGCACAAACAGAAAAAATAAACCTTATTCACCACATTCAAATATCTCTTATCCTGCTGATGAACAAGTCGTATGGAATCCTTAACAGTTTTACTGTTTGGCCTTCATAATGTTTTATTGTTTCTTTTTATTCAGGAAGATACTGTTTCATGCACATCGTTTATCGATAACACATGGTTAAATGATGAGCAAGTAAATGAAGATGATGATGATGATGATGATGATCGTTTTGTTGGTTCAAATGCATTTCTATTATATTTAGATGGTGAGAACATATGTTTTTATTTAACAGCGTATAAAAAGACAGTTGTTTTTATACGATCATGTACTGTCACTCTGCTAACCTTTAAAGATTCTATTCTTGTGACAGTGTCTAAATAGAAACTAACAGATTCTTTTTTCTCGTGAAGTCAAATCATGAAAGGAGAATTTATATATTTTTTTTCTTTTTAGAACTTAATATTTATAAAGAAACAGATGAACCTTTATATCTTGATTCAACAATTACATTTAAACAATATCATAAAAAAATTATTGAATTTGGAAATTTTGCTAAATTAAGTAACACTAATATGAATAAA